ATGCAAATCAATATGAAGAGTTTATATGGGAAAGGAAGCGTCCTATCTGTTTAGTCCTTTAGTTATTATGTAGTGTTCCCAGGTACCTTAGCCTTTTTAAAAAAAAAAAAAAAACTGCAAGTCTGAGAACCCCTTTTGCTTACATCTTTGTAAAACAGGATCAGCATTACCAATCAAACTCCTCCCTGTCTCTTATATACAGAAAATGAAATTCAAGTCACCAATCGGATGTCATTTAAATTTGTATCTGGCTGGTGATGCAACATGCAGAGTTACAGCACGCTTTTACTTACCATCTGATAGGCTGTGAGACTTTTTCAAATTCACATTTGCTTGGAATTGTTCCTTAAAACGGAGTTCCAACCAAAAGGGGAAGTTCCTCTTCAAGCCTTTGTCCCCCGCTCCCCATTAAGGATTGGCACCTTTGGGGAGCAGGTACCTGAATTTGCCCCGCTCTCACTTCCGCTGTGATCACCTAGGCGGTCGGAAGCAGAAGTTGTCCTCCCCCCCCCTCCCTCCCCATAGTCTTCTGGGACACGTGGCAGGTCCCAGAAGACTATGGGACCATTCATTCACATAGCGCAACACAACTCGCGCATGCGCAGTGGGCACCCGGCTGTGAAGCCGCAAGTTGACACAGCCGGGTGCCCACACTGAAGATGCTGGCGCCGAGGAGAAGACGGCTGGTGAAACCAGTGGTGGTGAAGACACCGCTGGACCGAGGGACAGGTAAGTGGCTGTATTTTAAAATTCAGCAGCTACAGTTTTTGTAGCTACTGACTTTTATTTATTTATTTTTTTAGGTGGAACTCTGCTTTAACTTTAGCCATGGTTGGCATGATAAAGTCAAATGATGCACCCTATTTATTTTTAAGCTAAAACTTCAGGCAGATATAAAAGGCACAAGGTATTGCACCTCTGTATTGCAGTCCCTGCACAATAGGGATCAGAGGGTGAACCAGCACAAGGAGACATTCAGTTGCATGGTAGTGCTAATGTGCTAACATGGAGCATGGTGATAGGAGACGGCTGAGCCAATTCTTCCTCTTTTATGGTGCAGTCACAGACTGGGTGAGAGACACAATCTGTTAGCATTGTAAGAGAATGGGTAGGTGGCTGAATGATCAGACAGGGAGAAGCTGTAACTTGCAGCTTACTAAACATGTGAAAAGTTATAATCAATAATGCAAAACAGAGTCAGGGTGCCAAATAGCATGAATACACTGCAGGATATCACAAAACAGATGATGAAAGCTGCACAAACATGTACTCTTCACAGCAATGTCTCTGTGGCTCAATCAGGGTAACATGTTGTTGCAATATCTGTCTAGGACAGCCATTGGCAAACTACGGTCCGCGGGCCGTATACGGCCCGGCGGACCTTTTACGGCCCACGGAGCTAGGCTCCCGCTAGGCTCCTCTCACAGTCCGCCGTGAAGACCGGTGTAGCATGAAAATCTGTCCCCCTCGACGTATCTGCGCATGTGCCGGAGATCGCCGATCGGCTGCTATTGCCTGAAACTGTCACATGCGCAGATACGTCGAGGGGGACAGATCCTCATAGGAGACAGATTTTCATGCTACACCGGAACGGCGAGAGGAACGCGCGGAGCAAAGGTAAGTGAATTGACACAGGGGGGACTTGGGGACTTAATATGGGGGATGAATTAATATGGGGGATGAATTACTATATGGGGGATGAATTACTATGGGGGATGAATTACTATATGGGGGATTAATTACTATGGGGGATGAATTACTATATGGGGGATGAATTACTATATGGGGGATGAATTACTATGGGGGATGAATTACTATATGGGGGATGAATTACTATGGGGGATGAATTACTATGGGGGATGAATTACTATATGGGGGATGAATTACTATGGGGGAATTACTATGGGGGATGAATTACTATATGGGGGATGAATTACTATGGGGGATGATGAATTACTATATGGGGGATGAATTACTATATGGGGGATTAATTACTATGGGGGATGAATTACTATATGGGGGATGAATTACTATATGGGGGATGAATTACTATGGGGGATGAATTACTATATGGGGGATGAATTACTATAGGGGGATGAATTACTATGGGGGATGAATTACTATATGGGGGATGAATTACTATGGGGGATGAATTACTATGGGGGATATGAATTACTATGGGGGATGAATTACTATATGGGGGATGAATTACTATGGGGGATGAATTACTATATGGGGGATGAATTACTATGGGGGATGAATTACTATATGGGGGATTAATTACTATGGGGGATGAATTACTATGGGGGATGAATTTCTATATGGGGGATGAATTAATGAATTACTATGGGGGATGAATTACTATGGGGGATGAATTACTATATGGGGGATGAATTACTATGGGGGATGAATTACTATATGGGGGATTAATTACTATGGGGGATGAATTACTATGGGGGATGAATTACTATATGGGGGAATGAATTACTATGGGGGATGAATTACTATGCTTACTATGGGGGAATATTACTATACGTACTATGGATGACACATACACATCATTCATCTACTCTTGGTCCGGCCCCCGGGTCCAATATATGAACCCATTGCGGCCCTCAAGTCAAAAAGTTTGCCCACCCCTGGTCTAGGACCTTATAGTAAAAAGTGAACAGTTAGAGGAATCCAAGGCCTGAGGACACAGCGGAGCCGCCCCACCGGAACTAAAAGACTCTGGAAGCGATTGGGTAGGGTCTTTTCTTAGAACCTCATGCTATCAGGCTGTGGCCCAGCTACCTGCACACTGGTTCTGACAGTGGAGAGCTTCTCAGCTGGCTCATATCACTATCCCACCTTCCTTTATCTTATCAGATGTAATCTTCCTGAACCGCTAAGTGAGGGAAGCAGAGAAACTTTTCTTCTCTGATCAGGTCCAGAAATCCAGGGAGTTGTGGGAAAATGGGTTTAAAGGAGCCTGTGCCAAGTGTTTGACTCACGGTTGTGGTGCAGCCTTATTGGTATCACTGGCACGCATCTGGTAACCGCTGCATCAGTATACAGCCCTGTCAGGCTATAATGTTAAAGTTCAACGTCCAAACAGTAGCTTAGCAGCCTGTTTTTACCACCCCCTCCACCTTCTGTGACTGGGATCCCTCAGCCCCCTTATACTTACTTGAGCCCCGTCATGATCCAGTGCTGTGCCTGAGAGCTTCAGCTCTCTCTGCTCTGTCCCGCCTCATAGAGCAGATCAGTAGCAGCGGGAGCCATTGGTTCCTGCTGCTGTCAGTCAAACTCCAGGGAGCGGGATGCAGGGCCTATCCCCGCTGTCTGTGGATGCAGGCAGCAGGGCTCAGGAGCGAGCCCGCTGGAGTGCCCCTACAGTGCTCCTCCACTCATTGAAGAGGAGGAGTGCCCCTATAGGAAGTAGCTCCTATGGAGGCACTCATTGAAGAGGAGGAGCCAGGAGAACCGGCGGAGGATTCGAAAAGAGGAGGATCGGAGCTGCTGTGTGCAATATCATTACACAGAGCAGGTAAGTATACCATATTTATTATTTTAATGAAAATAAATTAGGCTTTACAATCATTTTCACTGAACTTATTTGATTCATTGGCATAGAGCTGACACCTTTTCTGCAGTATATTATAAAGATCGTTAAATTGTTTATATAATAATGGCCCTACCACAGTCATACACCCACCCATACACCCATGTATACACAGTAGAATCAGTGTTGGGGGAAGCTAGTTCAGCTACCAGAATGTTTGGGAGATATGTGGGAGAAAGCTGAGGAACCTACAAGCTCTTGCAAGCAAGAGCACAACATATATATGCGAAAAGTGTCTATGGTGGAATTCAAACCAAGAAACACAGTTCTAACTTGAAGATTTGTCTATTTATTTTACAAAATGTGTTATTAGAAAATAAAGATGAGGAAAACATTACCATCATTTGCATGAATAAAAAGTAGAAAGTATTAGTGGTTGCGTTACCACCATAAGAGACCATTCATCCTCCATTGGACCTGAAGTGCTCTTTTTTCCTCAGGTAACTTTACATATTTTTTCCCTAGTACTAAGTGTATCAGTCATGTTGGTCACTGACTAGATTTAAAACATACTGGGGTTGATTTACCAAAAACTGGGATTAATAGGGTCTGGGATTAAAAAATTAAACTGACTGGCACTGTAAGGCGGCAATGATAGACAGCACTGACGGGCACTGATAGGTGGCACTGATGCACAATGATAGGCGGCACTGATGGGTGACACTGAAAGGCAGCTCAGATGGGCACTGATATGTGGCAATGATGTGCATTGGTAGGCACTGATATGTGGCATTGATGTGGCACTGATGGGCACTGGCAGGTGGCATGGATGAGCACTGACAACTGGCACTGATGGACACTGACAGATGGCACTGCCGGGGCTACACAGATCATCAAGGCCCTGATGATCAGTGTACATGTCCCCTCCGACGAATGCCGATTACCGGCTCTCCTCTCCTCTGGAGCTGTCAGCGTGACAGCTCGTGAGGAGAGAAATGTTGACAACCTGCATTTCCCCATTTACATGCGATCAGCTGTGATTGGACACAGCTGATCACATGACTGAGCCGACATCTTCGGCTCTTTCCGTCGATCGGTGATCTGCTGTGTCCGAGGGACACAGTGCACTGCCAATCGCTGCACTGCGCACTCCCGGAGTGGCGCATGCGCGGTTAGAATGGGAGGACGTCATATGACGTCCTCCCAGAATGAGAGAACCGCCTTGCGCCCGTCATTGTACTATAGGGCGGGAGGCGGTTATAGGATGTCTTCAACTTACACGCCGACCTCAATGCATTGTTTAATTGAGCAACTATGTGGCAAATGAGGTTTAATGTTGGTAAATGTAAGGATATGTACTTGGGGGCTAAGAATATGCATGCATCATACATATTAGGGGGAGTACAACTGGGAGAATCAATGGTGAAGAAGGATCTGGGAGTTCTGGTAGATCACAAGCTTAACCTCCCTGGCGGTATTCCCGAGTGTAGCTCGGGGTAAGGTTTCAGTACCACAAGCGGTAACCCCGAGCTACACTCGGGCATACCATGCGGCGCTGCACCACGATCCCTGTATCACTTACCTTGTCCTGCGCTCCCCACGATGTCCCTCCTGCAGTGTCCCCGACAATGTAATCCGGCGGATGCCGGCATCTGTCATCTGGGTTCCGTCCCCTGTGAGCGTCGGGACGTACGGGGGATGGAACGGTGGGAAATTCAAAAATGACAAAAAGTGACATTCACTAAAATCACTAAAATCACATAGTAAAAACATTACTGTATCAAACCATTTCACATACATTTTGTCCCTAGTGCTTTGTCCTGTGATCTGCCTGCATTTTTACTGTTTTTATTGCCTGGAAACTGAGAAATGTCCATGGCGTCCAAAAAAGCATCCCTTTAGGTCAAAAGCGGTTTTAGACCAGCTAGAGAACAGCGATAGTAAATCAGAACCACTTGCAGAATTGAATGATAATGATTTGTGGGGAAATTCGTCATCAAACAATGAAAATGATTTTGCAACTTTGCTCAGCGATGTGCGAACTTGGCGCTCTATTTCAAATTTAAGTGTTTTTGGTTTGATTATATTATTAAATTAAATTTTATTAATATTATATTATTATTTTTATGATTATTTATTAACTTATAATTTATGATTTCGTGTTTCAAATTTTAACATACCCGGGATGTTTACTAGACTCTTGTTCGGACAGATTTCAGTGAGTTATTCCTAAAAATTACAGCCCTACAATAAAAAAAAAACATATTTCCATGCAAAAAAAAAATGGTACCGCTTTCAGCACCAAAAATCTGAAATAATCATACCGCCAGGGAGGTTAATGAAGGCATGCAATGCCAAGCTGAGGTTTCTAAAGCAAGCAAAATCCTCTCTTGTATTAAAAAGAGGTATAGACCCCGGTACAAATCATTAGTAAAACCTCATCTGGAATATGCAGTTCAGTTTTGGGCACCGATTCACAAAAAAGAATATTGGGGAACTGGAGAAAGTACAGAGAATGGCAAGCAAACTGATAAGTGGCATGGAGGAGATCAGTTATGAGGAAAGATTAAAGGAATTGAGTTTATTCTCTCGAGAAAAGGAGATTAAGGGGGGATATGATCAACATGTATAAATACATCAGTGGTTCATATAGTGAACTCGGTGTAGAGTTATTCACCCTGAGGTCATCACAGAGGACAAGGGGGCACTCTTTATGTCTGGAGGAAAAGATATTTAATCTCCAAATACAGAAAGGTTTCTTCACAGTAAGAGCTGTGAAAACGTGGAATAGACTCCCTCAAGAGTTGGTTCTGGCCAGCTCAGTGGATTTCTTTAATAAAGGCCTGGATTGTTTCCTAGATACACAGAATATAACTGGATACTGACATTTATAGGTAAAGTTGATCCAGGGAATATCCGATTGCCTCTCGGGGGATCAGAAAAGAATTTTTTACCCTGCAGGAGCAAATTGGATCACACTTTGTGGGGGGGGGGGGGGGGGGTGCCTTCCTCTGGATCAACTGTAGGTATAGGGTTAATAACTTTTTTTTTTTATGGTTGAACTGGATGGACTTTTGCCTGTTTTCAGCCAGACTAACTATGTAACCGGAGAGTGCAAAATCCAGTTTTGTTTTGTTTTTGTTAAAAGCTTACTTGAATAAGCTGAAATTAGAAGCTGATTGGCTACAATGCACCATATGTGGCACTCTCCAGTTTTAGTAAATCAGTTCCACTGTATATTGTATAAACAGTTCCGTTCATCACCCTTAACTGCAACTTGAAAGTTGGCTGTATGTTCCCATAGTCATCCTCACAGTTCCTAGTAGAAGAACCTTAGGAGGAGTTCAAGATAATACAGTAAACCTGTGCAAACAGCTGAAAATTGGCATGGTTATTTTGTGTTATGGAAACCATAACTGAGATTCTAGGTAATAAGATCCACAACTGAAAGTTGCAGGATGTGTGTAATTGTATGATTTTTATCGTTTATATTTCCAGGGTCCTTCTGGTGAGAAGGGAAGCCGGGTAAGAATGCAGACGTGTTCATGATTTGTTTTAGCATGTGAATAATCTCTATATAATAAGGTGGAATGATTAGCTGACATCATAGATTAAATACAACATACTAGTACAAAGTACACTGCTTGTACTTTTATTAGATTTAATATAATGGAAATACATGCATCCTTTTCACATTATGACCAACAGTTTGCTACTATGTTATATAATTTACCAAATCAGATAAAGAAGCAGTGTGTTTTTGGTTGCAAATCAGTTTGCTGCTCTCTTTAGCTTCATATTCTGCATGATTGTGTTTTTGGGACTTTTAGGGACATTGGTCCTGCATGTATAAAACTTGAGAGCAAGGAAATGTGAAAGAGTTGTCTATAGCAACTGGATCATGGTTTCCATTTTTAATATATGTGGTAAAAGGACAGCTTGAATTTTATTGTTATAGGTAAAGCTTCCACTGTTCTGTCCTGCAGTTTTTATACAGGAGGTGTAGTAGTATGTTGAATACATCTAAGCATGTTATATCACACTGCAGCATATACATTTTAGGAACACAGTAAACTATGATCATTCCACTTAAAACAACTTAAAGGGAGGCTGTCATGATAAGTATTTGCTTAAATTAATCTTTTTTTATCACTGACTTGTAGCTTATGTCAGTGCAGAAATGCTGATTCCTTATGGTTATGTATTATAATAATAGTCTCTTATTATAATTCAAGGTCACCAGGACAGGAAGTAAGGGGATCTCCCCAATGTGGATATACAGTAGACAGCAATAAAACTCTTGACAAAGGTTCTCAATGGGTCACCTATACTGGTTTTTATATGGAGAACGAAGGCATTTTACACAAAACAAATAGCTTCAAATTGCAGAGGTCACTGCAGGCTGTAAATGGCCTATGTTTAATACTATAATTGTCTCGTACAATTAAAGTATTAAAACAGCAAACTAATGAATATATATACTGGTTTTTCTTTCCTCTTCAACCTACAATAATAAATAGCACAGGGTTTGTACTAAATTAAATATTTATAGGTTTAAAAAAATTAAAATTGTCTGGTGAGCAAATAAGTCATAGAGGCAGAGACAAGTGAACTGAAGCAAACTGACATACTGTAGCTAAATGGGGTCTCTAGGATCCACTGCCTCTGGGAACAAGGAGGTTAAACCAAACTCCTATGTATGCATTTGGCAGAGTAGGACAAGAAAAGATGGTAGAATAGAAAAAAGGGGAATGCTGGGTATGTATGTATATACAGTATATATGAATGGCAGGAGACAGCTAGGAGATTAATAAGTAACAAAGTTGAGAGGACAGTGAATATAGGGAAAGAGGAAGAAGGTAAGATTAGATTAGAGTACAAAGTAAAAAAAACTAGAGCAACAAACAAACAGTAAATGCTAAGTGACGGTTTATATATGAGGCGATTTGTGTCCACAGCCTTTTATTGTACTTATTCACAGCCAGTACTGTGTGATAATGATTGCATTTTCCTTTGTAGCATGATACTGGATAGAGAGAGGAAGTATAAAATCCCCCCATTTTGTCTTTTTGGTCTGTGTTACCTTTGGAGAGATATACTCTCTCCTTTGGTCCCAGTGTTCAGTGTCAGCAGTACAAAAAGTGATGGGAATCCAAAATGTTAGTGTTGTCACAGGGACAGAACGCAAGGGGAAATTTTACATTGAGAACGCCTGTTCTTGTAATAGGTTTTTTTTTAAAGGGATCCCCCCCGTTTGGAGAGATAAACTCTTACTTCATATTGGATCTTTGGGACAGGTAGATAAAACTAATTTTTCCCAGCAGAACAAAGACAATAAAAAGTAAAAATAAAACTTTCCTGCTCTATAATAGTTAAAAAGATTTAGCTTTACAGGAACTTTAAAACCAAATGCCGATCTTCGGTGAATTCTGGGGCAATACTGCATACAAAAGCTGCTGATATTTTTCCCAGTCTCTAAGGTCCATTAACAATATAGGCACTTGTATGTGTTTTAACAGGCCAGAATCTATGCTCGAGTCCTAGTATGCATATATTTTGATGAGAAGATTCAAATAATGCAATGGCAATAATGCAAACGTGCATTTTTACAACCAATTAATCTAACTGTGTTTTAACAAAGTTAATTTATTGTTTTTGCCATGTGTATGCTTGACTAGATTTTTGCTCATCGTGTTTTAAAATAAGTATCTTGATGTTGTGTACAAAATTAGGCATTCCAATGGACACTTCCAGTATTTCATTATCATGGCAGCTCACCTTTAAGTTTACTAAATGTTATGCTTATATTTACAGCTCCGAATTGATTCTGAACAATAAAACTATGTAGACACTTTTCATTTGGTTTCTCTTTTCACTGATCAAAATATCAAAAAGTTAGTATTTATTGAAAAACAAAATTAGTAGACCAGTACATATTCCAATATGATACTCTCCAAAAAATTGAGATTATTACAGCCCTAGTATGCCTACACCTAGTTATAATCCATCCATCCTATAGGTTTAATATTTAAATCCATTTCAGTAAACTTTTACTTTATTTGGATTTTTACTGACCACATTTTTCACAATAGTAACAGTTCTGCCATCTAAACATACATAATTTAAGATTGCATCAGGAAAATACTGTTTCAAGGTTGACATGTCTGTATAAAGGGCTGAATCCCACATTCTTGAAAGAGGCGCTTGGTGGATATTGTGGTTTAGTGCAGCCACATGATAATATCCTGGAGAACACCAACTGAAAAGAGCTCTCGTCTCACTTGTGCAATGATGCCTTGCTTCATTTCCTTTCTTCACTTTTATCGCGTGTGTATTTTCTTTGCTTTTCACAGGTTCACCTTTGTCCCCTTTATCCTTTTCCTTAACTTATGCCTTTTACCTGGGTCTTTCCTCCAACCTCCTCTGTAGCCTGTTCCATTTTTTCCCGGATTATCCTTTCTTTGTTGAAATGCCTTCTCCTTGTTTTTTTATTCGTCTGCTTCTCACATCCCTCCACTACATTCATATTAGCAAACCTACAACTGTGCCTCATAATTGCTTAATCTTCCCCTAGATTTTCTAATCTTCCTCAAACACACATAAAAAGCTTCCTGAGCCATGATAAAATACACCCCATAACACCACTAGTAAAGTAAATATTTAAGCCATGCTTTACATCTATCATGTTTTACCATCACTGACTTAATATATCATTTGTTGTCTGATTCTAAACTATGATATTGACACCAGATTTGAACTGAGCCATGCATTGATCCTTATGTTTTTCTTTAGTGTTTGCT